AGACTGGGAGAACATGGGAGCAAGCAAAGTCTTTGGCTTTTTAGAGATTATAATAAATACATGCTATCATCTCTCTGAGCCCAAATCACTGGAGAAAACATTCTAAAGGTAGCCTGAAAATACACCCAGAACACTCCCCAAGCTTCAAACCACTGAAGAACACCTGTTGCTTGAAGGTTTATGCTCACTTTGCACAGAACAGCAGAAACATAAAATCTTTGCAATTTTTCTGAACCTGATAAAGAGCTGCACATAAAATACTGTGTGTCCATTCCCTTTTACCCCCACACACTTAGGGTGATTAGTATTATGAGGAAGTGTTGGTGTCTGTCCAAACTTGGAGCATCTCTGCCACATGTACAGCAATCTCTGAACTGTAGCCAGACACCACTTACAGCAAAATGACTCTGGTGCCTCCAGCTGTGCTCAGTTTCCCAGAGGCAGCTGCAGTCACCTCTGAGTGCTGCCAGTCCAGCTCCACTCACTGCTGCTCTTGGCATCCCTTGGTTTAACAGGGAAGCAAAATCCTGGGCTGAGCACTCTTAATATGGGACCACGGCAATTCCAGTGACACTGTGGGGGAAACTGGACAGAGGTAGGAGCAGCCTGCAAGTAACTCAAGCATTTTCAAGCAAGGTTCAACACCTTCCCCAAAAGACCTTGCCCCACAGGTGCTCAGAGGGAGCACTCCTGCCTCACCAGGCAGCACAGAAATACCAAACCTAGGTTTTCATAACACCCAAGAACAGAAGAGCATTAATTGGCTGTTTTTCCCAGAAGCAAGAAATAGATATCCAAATCAGCTAAAAGGAAATCATTATGGTCACACAGCAGAAGTGGTGGACTATGTAAGTGCTCCCCATGGAGCTCACAGTCACCTTGCTGAGGTGAGTCCACGTGGGGCTGTGAGCTCCTGAGATAAAAAAGAACAGAAATGAAAAGCACAAGACTCACCCAGCCACGACCAAGCTGTGTTGCAGCAGTGCTGGAGCCTCCTGTGCACCTCAGGCACCTCCAGCCATGGCTGCTGGGCAGCCCAGGAGCCAGGCTGGCCCCGGGTGAGCCCTCCTCAGCCAGGGGCAGCGACTTCACTGGATCCACAGGAAATGAGGCAGGACTGATTCAAAATCACCTGCACCATACAAAATCCTCTCTCTGCAAAGTCTGTGGGGACCATCCATAATTACTGAGGGCTCAGGTTTTAGCCATCACAAAGGCTCCTTCATGGCAGGTGCGTGTTTCATCCTCCAGAGCCTCACACCAGAGTGATTCTCCCCTGCTCTGCAGTCTGCTGGTAATTGTTATTCAGCTGGAGTTTGTTTCCTTTAAATATGAGATGTGAGCATCCTGTCTGGCTGCTCAGTCCCTCCATGCTCTGTTCTGTGCTCCCTGTGGTGTGAGGGGAGTCGCGGCCACGTCCCCAGGCCTGGTGTCCCTGAGGCGCAGCGGCGTTCCCGAGGCCATGGCTCCCCCAGGGATGGACAGTCCCTTCTGAGGAAACTCACTGAGCTCTGCACACAGGGTGTGTTTCTGCTTCTGCCAGAGACAGGATTTCACAGCTATCAGCTTCAGGGAAACATGGAATAAATATCCAGAATAGAGCACCTGTTGCTTGGAGCCTGCAGCACGCACAGGCCGGCTCAGCCGAGCAGAGGCACAAACTCACCCAAAATGGTTTCTTACATTAAAGCTCCTTCAGCAGGGGTGTGGATTCAACAGGGGTGACCTGTGCTCTGCCAGGAGCCCTCAGAAGATCTGTCCTTGTCTCGCTCTGGCTGGCAGCAGGCGGGCCCTGAAGGCGTTCCTGGGGCTGAGAGGTCCCCACAGAGCAGCTGGCAGGGCGGGCTCTGCCCTGCAGCAGCCACGGGGGTCTCGCTCTGAGGGGCGAGCGCACAAGGCAGGGGAGTCACTCCACAAGTGGCAAAGTGTCACAGTTCAGGTGGCCACGGTACCCAGAGCATCCCCATACAATTCCAGGAGGCTTTAACCCATACAGAGCAACATCATACTACATCAGAAGGCTGCAAATATCTGCCCTTTTTAGCCTTTAGCCCACCCTTTTATCCCCCTCATGTTAATGCATTGCACCTGTGTGCCCTCTGTTCCCTTTGTGATTGGTCAGTGCCCCTGGGCACTCCATGGCTCCTTGCTGCCAATGCTGCTCCTGTTTTTCACAGCTGTGCCCATCCCAATCCCCACAAACTGTGTGCTCCATGCAGCCCCACTCCCACTGACCCCAAACTGTGCCACACACGGCCCCATCCCAATGACCCCAAACTGAGTGCCTGCAGTAAAGTCCTGCAGAAAGGGGGTCTGGAGCCCTGAGTCACCCTGAACCAGCTCAGCAGAGCTGTGTGGCCCCAGGCTGTGCTCCAGCCCCTGTGACCCCAAACTGTCAGGGCACCTGGAGCCCTTGCCCTTCAGCAGCTCAGGAAGGAAGTGAAAGTTGTCTCTGGGCACAGAGAGGCTTCTCCTGAACAGCAGAAATAACAAATAGACCTGAAATGTCCCCAGACCTTGCTAACAACACCGTCCGAGGTTTTTGCCACTTCTCCTTTGATTGTGACTCTCCCTGTACTTGGTGTTTTCACTCTATCCCCACCTTCCTGAAACCCTGTTAGAAATTTATTTTTAACCAAAGTCCGTGTCTAGTCTTGTGACTGTGACGCAACGTTTGGAAGTGTGGTCTGTATCTCTGAAAAACCCAGGATAAACCCTGCAGTGCTCTAAGATGCACATAGTCCTGTGTCTGTCTGCACCTTTTCATTCTGCTGGGGGTAAGGCTGAAGGTGTGCACAGAAAAATGAGCACTTACACGTATTTATCAAAGCCAAAAGGGAAATGGGGTTTAAATAATCAACCATCATACATATTATATATAAATACAGAGCATTCACACAGAATGACAGAATATTCATATACGTTTCCATTCTCATACTGGTCTAATTATTCTGTTAGGCTTTTAATCCCCCAGTTTAAAAGGGGCCTCTGAAATCTAATGTACAGATTTGGGAGAATCTATCAATCTCACATGGCAGGGCTGTAATCAAGAATAGCTGAGAGAAGCATATGAGCAGCAGGTCGGGTGGATCTTTCATTTGCAGAGGAGCTCTCCAAGTAAGGCATTCTTCCCTGATTTATATTACAAAATGCACTTTATCTGTTTCAAACAAAACCTAGCTGGACTTGTGTAATTTCTGAGACATGCAGGGAGGAGTCCAAGGGTAGCAGGAATTTAAAATATATGTTTAAAGCCTTTAGTTTCAGCATCATTCCTATTTCAGTTGGGATTATTGCAACTTCTGCTGCTGGAGTATCTCACCCAGAGGTCAGGAGAAAAGCCTTAGGTGATAGAAAGCATTAGGAAGGGAGAGTGAGAGTTAGGTGTAGGTGTTTCTGCACAAGAGCTCATCTATCTAAGTTTTCTGTTAGTGTGAATTTGGTGCAGTAGTTGTGGCGCTTCCTGTTGCCAAAGATGAGAGTTTTTCCAGAGGGTTTAATTAAAAAAGAGTGAGGAGTTGTTGGGCAGATAACGTATGACCACAGAGTTGATCTGGAAGGTATATTGGGTGGGGCTCACAAAACAAGGAAAAATTAGAATTAGGTGATTTTACTGTTTTTTTTTTTTTTCAGTGTGTTAACAATTTCTTCATTTTTCCATATGTGATAAAACATAGATCCTGCTACAGCATGACTTTAAAATTATTCATTTATATACCCATCAGAGGAACAACTGCAGCAGTATGCAGTGGGGTCCCCTCTCTGAGTATTTCTTTGTGTCTGTAACTTCATCTCTGGTTTGGCAACATCTGCTGGGAGCAGAGGATGAGAATCCTCAGCGCTGCCAGAACGTGGGCCAGGAAGCATCGGGAGCTCTTTCCGATCTGCTGGCTGCATTCTGACGTGAAAACCAGCAAATGCAGCCTCTCTGTGTGTGTGTGTGTGTGTGTGTGTGTGTGTGTGTGTGTGTGTGTGTGTGCATCTCTGTGTGTGTCTGTGTGTGAGTGTCTCTGTGTGTGTCTGTGTGTGTGTCTGTCTGTGTGTGTCTCTGTGTGTGTGTGTGTGTGCATCTCTGTGTGTGTGTGTGTGTCTGTGTGTGTGTCTGTGTGTGTGTGTGTGTGTCTGTGTGTGTGTCTGTGTGTGTGTGTCTGTGTGTGTGTGTGTCTGTGTGTGTGTCTGTGTGTGTGTGTGTCTGTGTGTGTGTGTGTCTGTGTGTGTCTCTGTGTGTGTCTATGTGTGTGTGTGTGTGTGTGTGAGTGTTTGTGTGTGTGTGTCTGCCTGCCTAGGGGAGGGCTGCAATTACCTGAGATCCTCTGCAGATATCCCAGTGCCTCCTCGTGGGGGAGGCTCATTTAGTATGCGCAATAAAATCGCTGTGGCACCGATCATATGATTGGGAGAGTCAATCCTGAGGCAGCACTACTGAAAAGGGGAGGTGGAACCAAGACACTCCGTGCAGACAGCCGGGCTGTGAGCAGCACACGAATTGCACTCAGCAGGCAGGAGCAGAGCTGGGGCATCGGGCTGCTGCTGAAAATCCCAGCAAAGCTTTCTTTCTGCCCAGTCTGCCCCTGTCAGGATGCGCTGCTGGTGTGAGGGAGAGAAGGAAATGTGCTGCTGTGCGTGATTAAAAGGTGAAGGCAGTGATAGAGGCAGAAGATCTCTGTGAAACTCCTTTGATAACCACCTTGAGAGTGAATTTTACCTCTGGAGAGTGCTGGTTCCAGCTGACTGTCTGGAAAGTGTCATGAAGAGGATGCAGGTTCCGAGGAAGCGTTTTGCTGACACCAGAGCAAACTAGAGGAGAACTTTTACCTGCATTCCTGGCATTTGGGAAAAATAATATAAGAAAAAATTCTCTGCCAGGATTCTTTTTTTTTTTTTTCCTTCTTCACGAGTCCTGGAGAGAGATTTTGTACACACCAACCAGAAGTCAGAATTCTACAGACTTTCCAAAGAACAGGCATGGTACAAAATGTGATTTTGGTGTTTTTCCGCAGGCGACTCAGCCAAAGACCCGCTGTTGAGGAGCTGGAAAGAAGGAATATACTGAAACGTGAGTACTTTTTTTTTTCTAAAGTATTTTATGTATGTCTGTTGAAATTAGTGATTGTATTTCCAGAACATATTATTTTGAAATAGATAAATTAATTCACTGGGATAATTTTCTGTGCCTAAAAGTTTTAATTTTTCACAAAGACTTGCAATTTGAGGACAGAAAGAACCGTTCAGGTTCAGGCTTTCAAATAATTTTCATTCTGATTCCACTGTTAACTGGTGTCTGAGAGGGGAATACGATCTGAGTGTCACAGTGCCATGAGACTTGGAGTGACATTTTTCAAGACATGGATTTTCAGGACAAACACTGAATAGCACTGGCAATAGAGTGGCTGGGGGAAGCATCCTTGCAGAGATGTGATTCTGTCCACTCTGTTTGCTCATGTCACTGGAGATCTGCCCAGTCAAAGATCAGATACCAGAGATACCAGAATTATTAGAGGGACAGTCCCAGGCCTGGGACAGGTGCTGCCACAGGGGAGTGTTCTCAGCATCTCTCAAATTCAGGCAAAACTTGCAATTCTTTTCCTAAGTGTTTCCAAGGGATCAAACAAGTGATGAACATAATCCCTTCCCTTAAAACTGCTGAATTAGGGGAAGGTGAGAGCTTTGAAATTGTCTCCACTATGGATCTCAAAAGGGGAAATCCATCTGCTGTTTAGTCTCTTTAATGCTGAGAGACAAAACCCAGAGTGATGTGAACTATAGGTTCTCATTAAACAAACATAAAGCATAAAGCCACAGAAATCTGTCATACAAGCAGTGCTGCCTACACTGTTTGATTTGTATTTAATCATGAGATTGTAATTCACTAGGAAAAAAGTCATCAGCAATGCGTTACCTAAAATTGTGTATCTCAAAAACTTTCTTAGTGATTTCTAGGGAAAAACCTTATGTTCTTGCCATTGAAGATATTTGGGATTTCATTCAGTTTTCACACAAAGGAGCTCCACAGGCAGCCTGTATTTAGCAGTGTTTTCTGTACAGTTCCAATGCACAGATCACACACAGTAAAATGAACTCTATTTTGCATGTGCACAGCTTGAGGAGGGAAAGAAACCCTCTTTGCAACATGAGTGGGTGAACTTGGCCAAACTTCACCTGTCATCTACCAGAGAGGCAGGAAAATGCAGTAACCCAAGATCCTGAACTATGTGGAGACAGATTTTCAAGAGTCAGTAACTAAAATCTCTGAAAATCTGTTTCTTTGGTTTTTTTCCTTGGCTAAGGAAAAGCTGATCTCCACTGAAAAAATCTGTTCCTTTATGTTTACTTTTTTGAAGTGTGCTGGTTACATCCTTAATCTGGGTTCAACTGACCAGTTTTAATAATAAAAAAGTTTGAATACATTCATATAATGAGCTTAGAGAGAGATAAAGCAGAAAGGAGATAAAGCAGAATTAAAGATACTTCCTGAATACCAGCTAAACATACTGGTCTAGATTTGTATCTCATTTAAAGAGCTCCCAGCATGGAGCAAATTTATTGACTTCTGTTGAGTTGCTCAGGCTTTATACAGGTTCAGCTGGGATCAGAACCACTTCCATTTTATTTACCTCTGCCATTATAATAAAAGCTGAGTATCCTGTACAGCTGTAGCAGTATAAAAGCCCTTCAGTGAAATCCCCACGACCTCCTCCAGGTGTAATAAGGGTTTGTGCAATTTTGTGCATTTCCCACCATCTTTGATGTTCATAATTGGCACTGCTGATAGAAGTTCTTTCATGGACTCAGAATTCACATTTGTACAGCTCTGGTAAAGAAAGAGAAGCATATTGCAAAGTACAACTACTGTCACTTTAAAGCAAATCTCAGCAAGATTTCAAACAGTGATTTCTTATCTCCTTCAGGGAGTTGTTTCTGAGATAAAAGTAATACCTAAAAAAGCAAACTTAAAGCCAGCACTTTCTTACAATTTTGTTGATTTTCCAAGTCCTTTAACCATGGAAACTCTGCTGGCTTCCCACCAAGCATGAAAAGCAAATGAACTAAAATCACAGGCCAGGTGTCAGATGTGTCCTTGGTGAACAGAAAGCCCAACTCAGGCCAAGAAGGCATCTCTTGAACCCCACTGTGCAGTCCCAAGGAGATGCTTTGGTGTCACCCAGAGCTCAGAACGAGCTCCAGCTCTGCACAGGCCCCCTCAGCACTGGGAGAGCTCTGCTGAGATTTACAGAGCCAGCCCTCAGCAATGAATGGAGCTGTGTGGGCAGAAGGATGGTGATGGGAAAAGCCTCTCTGGGCTGGCTGAGTAATAATGCCTGAGTCTTAGAATCCCCTTGCCAGCATTTCATATCAAATCTCAGGTTTGTTTTTTTCTTTTTTTTTTGTAAAAGAACTATTTCTTTTATTTCTTGAAGCTGGAAATAAGCACTGAACCCAAGTGAATAGAAATAAGTTACTACACGTTTATATTTGGAAAAGTATTTTTTGATCAGAAAGGTGTATTTTTGGCTTTTCTTTGGGAATTAGAATCATAGAATCACAGAAATGTTTGGGTTGGAAGGGACCCTAAAAATCCTCTTATTCCAGCCTCTGCCATGGACAGGAACCCTTTCCACTGGACCAATTTCCCTCTAAGGCTTCCAGGGATGGAGCAGCCACAGCTTCTCTGGGCAGTTCTTTCACTGCATATCACATCATATCTTTAAAAGGCACTACACCACAGAAAATTATCTCTTTTTAATTAAAAAAAAAATACAAAATAGGAATATCTACTGTAAAATGGGTGAACTAAAGCTGAATGAATAGCTTCTTGCAGGTGTCTCTATATCTAAGAATACCCTCTACTTTTGAAAGCCTGTTCTCTTTTACACATTGCAGACTGAAATAGCTGCTCATCCCTGACACAGCACTAATTTTAGCTGACCTGTTCTCTTTACATTTTGTGCCTTGCCACTGAACTATAATGCAGCGCATTACAGCATTTTAAATTCATTTGATTCACATTTGTAGCCTAGCCAGGTGGAGCTGTGCACTTCTATGTTATTTTAAATAGATTTGATTGCATCTCAGTGTCATCTAATGAGCACAAAAATCAGGGAGAAAAATGCTCCTTTGTTAAAAATATCTTGGAAATCCATCTGCAGTGCTAGTGGGTTTTGGAGGCATAGTAGAAATCACGTGTGTGCTTTAACACTGGAAATATCTAATGCAAGAGGTACAATAAACCTCAGAGTAGTACCCAGAGAATCCCTGAATGGTTAAACCTTTTTCTCTGGCTCTGCAGCTTTGTTCAGGTCACGGGCTCACGCCTTAATTTAGTAACAGCTAGTACTGGGAATAGAAACGCCATTAACTCCTCTCCTAAGGCAGGGGATCTATTTCTCACTGTTACAGCACTCCGGGCTATTTTTAGAGCCAGCGTGTAGGAGTTCTCACGGCTGGAATGTTAATAGGCACAACACACAAAGACAGGGCCGAGCTCAGAGCTCTGCACAGGAGCCCTGGCAGGAGGAAGGGGTCTCATGTCAGGGAAAGCCAAGGTGCCAGCCAGTGCCAGGAGTGATGCAGCCTGAGGGAGCAGGGCTGAGGGCACAACGGGCCCTCCCTGGCGCTGCTGCAGTGACTCCCGAGCATCTGACAGCATGAATGGCCCCAGCAGTATGGAGAGTAAAAAAGGAAGATGGATCAGCTGTGGAATGTGTTGGTTTTCCTTCTGAAGCTGATCTGAGTGGAGTGTTGGTGTGGCTGTTTCATTAAATCCCCGTGGAGTTCAGAGCTGACACTGGCACCAGCACGGTGTCCTCACAGAGAGGTGACTCCGTGCTCCAGCTCACACCAGGGATGCACTGAATTGCCAAAACACACAACTGCCAGCTGCTTGTTGGGCTGTGCTCACTATTGCCTGGAACCTGGGAAAACACCAAACTTCCTCATGAGGAAAGTCATCTTTTTTTTTATATTCTCTGCAGAACGAAATGATCAAACGGAACAGGAGGAGAGGAGGGAAATCAAGCAGAGACTGACAAGAAAGGTAAAATCTTGCAATACTTGCTATTAGCTTTTAGAAATTTAGCAAAATTATTATAATATCACCCAGCCATAGAGGTTGTTATTACACAGAACCTCCCTTAATATGCATCCTCCTCAGCAGTGTCTGGGAGCAGTGTCTGGTAATATCAATTATAGACATACCTACCTTATCTCAGCTAGATGAAATTGAGTAGAATATTTACATATAAATTTACTCAGAAAATGGGTATCATGGCATATTTGTCAGCTCCATTGCTGGTAAAGGACTTTTTCATTCTTTGTAGCAGAGCTGACTCCTTGCTGAACACCATGTCTGCTCCCATAGTACATTTCTTTTTGCATTTAAAATATTCTCAGCACAAGAACGAAATCTTGTTGTTCTGTTCTTGGAAATCCCTAATGGAATTACAGACCAATATGCTGATAACTTGTTCAGGCTTGACTGAAATTCTTACAGAGAGTCTAGTGCTGAGAATCTCACACAGACAATCTGCCTCTGCCTGTAGTAGAGCATCCTCCAGCATCCAGAATTATCCAGAGATCATTAAAAAATCCTTCATGATTCCTTTACATTTTGAAAATATATTTTATCAATATCTGGGTTAAGATATTTTCTTCTTTTGTCCATGGTAAAGGCACTGTGCTGTAGCTCCATTTAAACCATTATTACTCTCCTAGCAGTTCTCCAAGTGGTGAGATATTTCCCTGGAGTTTCCAAGGGTTGGGTGGTTTTCCATATTTGTAGATGCACACTGAGCCAAGATGAAAAGAAGCAAATACTGCATTTTTCACTGACTCATTTGTTATTAACCCTGGTTTTATTTCACAAAACTTCTGAATACAGCTTAACCAGAGACCTACAGTTGATGAACTGAGAGACAGAAAGATCCTGATTCGATTCAGTGATTATGTGGAAGTGGCAAAAGCACAGGACTACGACAGGAGAGCAGATAAACCATGGACACGACTGTCAGCAGCAGACAAGGTACTGACAAACAACAAAGTTCTGCTTTCTCCTTGCTTTGTAATGATACATCACATTCCCAACAGACTTGAACCTCTGCAACATTTCAGCTCTGTAAAATTTTCCATGATTTTTTATGTTGAAATCATACAAATCTCATAAAAAAGCCTATTTAGTACTCGAAAGGCTTCCACCTACCCACCCAAAGAGGTGGATACAGTATTTAGGTTCCAAATCAAAACCATTTCCAGCCAACAGAGTATTTACCTTTATTCTCAGACTGGAAGTTTTGTCCCACACATGCAAAAATTTCCCCTCCTTTTTCCTATGAATGCTCAAGGAGTCACTGGACCCACATTCTCCTGAGCATGAACTCTCATTCTGCCCCATCACATACCTGCCACGGAGCTGATTCACAGCCCAATTTAAGTGTCACATTTAGGTGCTTGAGTAGTAAGAATAGTTCACCATGATTCCAGCCAGAGCATTGGGAAGTTTCAGGGCTCCAGGAAGCAGGAGCAGGATGCTGAGACCATTACTGGGAAATGGCAAACACAGGACTGTTAACATGGCTTTGTGCTGAGACCTCAAACACTTTGGTTTCCATCCCAGTGTCTCCCCAGTAAGGGACAAATGGGATTAGAGAACTCATAGAAAAGGAACAGAGCACTTCTACTCCTGCAGCTGCTCTCCCAAGCTCTCTGAAATGGTGAAGAAGCTATTCCATAGTAATCAACAGAATAAGAATTTCATATTTTCCTTGTATGTACCTTTACTACAATTAGACTTTTCCTGGTTTTACTGTGTCAATGTTCATGTTTCAATTAACAAGGCAGCTTAAAGAAAGTGACAGTTCTGCTCATACTGGTGGCACACCTCAGGAAGTCAGGGTCAGAGCTGCACCTCTGCATTTGTGACTGAAAAATGGATCAATTTCTTGGCAGCTTCTCCTAATCTTTAATAAATTTTAACTGGAATCTTATTAAATGTGAGACAACCAGCTCTGAGGTGTTATTCTGTCAGAATTGCTTCTAGACAGCAGTGACCCTGTCAGAAATCAATAACAAATGAGAAGTATTGTGTCACCAATCCATACAACCCAAATATTCAGCACTTCTACCAGCACAAGAGTGCTCTGCTCTACCCAGTACTTGGTTTATCTACCCCAGAACACTGCTCTGCTCTGCAGGTCTGGCATTTTGCTCACAAACACAACATTATTTGTTCATGTTTTTCTCTTTTCAATTCCTAGGCAGCAATTCGGAAGGAGCTGAATGAATACAAAAGTAATGAAATGGAGGTTCATGCATCCAGCAAACATTTGACAAGGTCAGTTTGCCAGCTGTTTATCTCTGCTGCCTGCTAAAAGCTCTGACTCTTTGACTCCTGAACCTGTGGATTGCATTCTTATGTGCTGGATGCACAGAATATGCAAAGGGAGGTTAATATTAAAAGAAAATTGGAGCATTTCTCTTCCTGAAGAGAACCAAATTTTCTGATTTTTTTGGGGATTTTATTAGCACATACCAAGAAACCTGCAGACATTCTCCAGAGCATCCCTCAGCTGGCATTCCTTGCACCAAAGATTCAAAGATAGGACAAAAAAATTAAAGTATATAACACAGAAAACAATATGATTTTTAAAAATAGAACAACATAATAAACTGTTTAAAGATTTCTGAATTTAATGTACTCGAGCCTGCAGCCTTATCACAAACACTGAAAATTCCCTGCTCAGAAATCCAGAACTGCACTGACCATAAAAGGCCAGTGCCCAGGGGTAATGCCTTTGTTCTAATTGGATTTGTTCTAAAGCATTCAGCCTGGGGATTGCAGCATTCCCTGTCAGTGCAGTTGCTATTGGAAGGAGCCCCAGGTAACTTAATGACACTTAAGGACATTCCCTGTCAGGAGGGGGTCAGGAGAGAGAACAGGGCTGGGCTGTTGTCACTCTCCATGTGACTGGAGATTCCTCTGGGAACCTGGGCAGGGCAGTGCCTGCTCCATGTGCCAGTACTGCTGCCAGGGACTGTGTTCAAACACAGACCAAAACATTCATTTCCCTGCTTCAAGAGGGGGACCAACATGAGAGGCTGATTCCACAGCCACTGGTACTTGCAAGAAGGCATCATTAAGGGCACAGCAGCTTCCCTGCACTGCTGGAATGAACGTGGGAAGGGAAAAGGGATGGCTGCAGCTTCAGTCTGGCAGTGAGCTACACATTTCCTAATTGGAGCTACCTGGGGAGTCTCACTAGATGATAATGAGAGATTCTGAAATTTGTTCAGGATATTAGGAGTAAACAGGCTTCCAATTTACAATTAGTGCTAGGGCATTGCATATGATTGGGGCTTTAATTATGGATCTCAGCCAAAAGAACAAGGCTACAGAGCAAGAAGAATATTTATTCCAGAAGCTAAGACTATCAAACATTTCACCAACAGTATCTCCTCATACTTCATAAAGAATTTCAACATTGCTTAACTCTTAAAAAAGATCACTGCACAGTGAAGAATATTGTTACCAATGACAAACTGTGGCTTCTTTTACTAGACAAAAAAACCCCACATCAACTACATACCTGGATTTGCAATTGCATTCCCAAGGAAATGTAAACGAGGTACACTGGCCCTGAGGACTGTACCTGCACTGCAGTTGTGGCACAGGGCTGGCAATGTGCTGGGGAAAATTGAGAGTTGCTAATATTCTTCAGCACTGTCACTGTACCTTTAAACAGAATGAATCCTTCTGTGGGCTTTTAAAAATTTTGTTAATCTAACATAAAATAATTGAATCAAAAATAATTGAATTATATTGCAAAGAGTTTTGAAAAATGTCTCTCTTTCCTCCTAGATTTCACAGGCCATAGGAATTTTCTTCTGAGAAGAATCTGTCTTTACTTTTTGATATTGCTGCTGAACACACATCAGGGAACCCTGAAGCCTTTCCCTGAGGTTCAGTGCAGGCTCCCTGGACGTTGCTGTGACAGAAGGACTCTGCAGTGAAGCCTCTGCAGCCCCTGGGGACAGGACAGTGCCAGCCCCGAGCTCTGGAGGCAGGAGGGTCTGGCCTGTGGAGTGGGACAAGCTGCTGAGAAAGACTGAAGTGAAGCTGCTTGGAAGAGCCTCCTCCTCTCCTTTCCCACCTGAGTGGAACTGTTTGCAGGCTGCCTTGGAAAAGGAGATGTTGTGCATGTACAGGCTTTACCATTCCAAGGCCTCTGACATAAGTGGACATGACACTCTGTCATCCAGTATTACGTTGACAAGACATTTTGAACTTACCACAATTAGTTTGTAAAACACCTAAGTTCATGTTCTAAAAACTAATTTAATGTATTATAATTTCATTCTTTTTTATATACTGTCTAACAGAATCACAGCTGCAAGCATTTTTGATTCCTGTTACTTTTGTTCTTTAATTAAATGACTACTTATTGCAGGAAATGAACATGTTTCCTAAAGCTCTTTTTTTCCCAGGGATAGTTGGGAAGAGATTATAATTATTATGCACCAAACCATTTGACTTCTTCCTCAACACAGGGTCTGCAAAAGGATGATCTCAATTAAGGTTTTCCACCTGGTGGAAGAGCATAACCTGGTTGTCACTCTGCACCAATTGAGGCTGTGACCCTCTAAAAATGACAATTTGGTTCACTGTTATTCCAAATTCCTAAACTGGACAACCAGAGGCAGAAATGTAACAATGTACTTTGATGTTTAGCAAACAAATGGTTTTAATGCTTTCTTGACAGTAAGAAGAAAAAAGTTACTAAATGCTAATAACAAAGCAAATAGAACTGGTTGAGAAAAATGTAAAGCCAGACATTTTAATATTTCCTGACATGGAGAAGCACCTGAGGATTTACTCCATGCTACCAAAAAATAATTGTGAGAAAAAGAACACATTGCTAGCTGGGAATCACATGTGGTGAGACAGAAAAAAATGGTGAGTCCACTCACAAGATCAAGATTTCTCTGCAAGACTGAAGTGCTGCCATTCTGGGGAGTCATTCAATGTTAAACGCTTGAAAAAGGCATTATTGGTCCTGTAGCTTCCTTGAGATGATCTCCATGAAGTGTGAAAATAATAAAATGCAGTCTGTCCAAGTGCTTGTATAGACTACTACTGAATTGCTGAGAGGTGGGGAAGAGCCCCCACACAGGGACAGCTCTGTCCCAGTGGGGATGGAAGCACAGGAGCTGGAGCTGCTCCTGGAGGAACTGCCAGGCAGGAATGGGAGGTAAGGACACCCAGTGCAACACAGGCTGTGGCAGTGCCAGGGGGGAAGGAACTCAGGACTCCTGGGAGAGGTGGTGTCAACATTTTAATGTTTGTCTCATTGACTATCAGCTGAATGACCCCAGCACTTGACCCAAAGATGTGTTTTTTCCTCTTTATTGTGATTTTTTAACTTGCTGGCTTTTCACAGAAATATGTAACATCATAACTAGCCTTTTAACATGCATCTATCTATCATTTATTATTAATAATACAGGAGTAATTCTTAACAGCAATACAATGATAGTCCAGGTGCAATATACAAAGGCTAAAGAGAAAGGAGAGCAAGGTTTCTTCAGCAGAAGAAGCATTTTCAGTTTGAGATGAGCCACTGTTAACTACAAACTAAACTTGGCTAATAACCCATGTACAGTGTGTCCTGTTTAGCAGGGATGCACACTTCCACTGCCAATAAATATTATACAAAACACATTACAATTATGTTGAAAAACATAATCAAATTATAGTAAGGCTAACTTAGAGCAGGTTTGAAATGCCACACACTGCCCCTGAGCTGAGTCACTGCTGCAGCTGAAGCCTGGGGTAGCTCTGAGTGGCTCCATGCTCTCCATGCTCTGATCCTTCCTCAGCCAGCCTGGCCTCTGCTCTGCTCCTGGGGAGGCACAAGCTGTGACACTTCCAGAGCCACTGAGCCCTGGCCCTCAGCACTGCCTGCTCTGGGGGCTGGGGAGGTGTCTGGACATCCCTGGGCCACGGATTCCTGCTGGAATTTGGGACCACACCTCAGAGGGCACATCTGGCTCAGGGAGGCTGTTCTTCCTCCCAGGGGGAAAGGGAAACAGGCCTGCAGTGCACAATGCCTGTCCATAACTAAAAACAAGGCAGGAGTATTAATTTTCCCACGTGGCCTCATTGTAAGAAAGAATTTGGGCCTTGCAGTGCACTTTTAAAACCTTGCACAGTTTAGAGACAAGTCCTGTTTCACTCAGATGAAATTCAATCAGAGCAGTGGAAAGAAAAGTTTAACATCTCAAGGAGTCCATCTAGTGGAGATCACAGTGAGCACAGGCTCCAAAAAACCCCCAAACCACACAAAAACCAGAAGCTCAGAAAACATTTGTACACTGCTGTAAATGGGATGAATGGACCAAATTACTGGAAATTTCAGTGTAATTATTTCCAGAGAGACAAAACAGCCTTGTGGCTTTAAAATTCTTACCCAAAATATTTGCACAGCAGCTTTATCTGACTTCTTACTGATTTAAAGCAAAGTAACAATGATATTGAGTAAAAAACCCAAGAGACAGCATCTGTTTTTCTTGACTGGTTTAATAGAACTATTTGCAAGACAGTTCCAACACAAGTGTTGAGAGTGTTCTCTCAGAAAATCCTACTGAAGTCTAACACCACAGACAAACAGGACTGAGATCAAACCAGGTGGTTTGGTCCCTAAATAATTCCTGGCTTGTGTTCTGGATCAGACCCAAAACATTGATTCAAAGTGAAATTCAAAGTGATTTCTCTGAAAGTCAGTTAAGTAACCTATAAAAATTGTTAAAGAATTATTCAGAAGTAGTATGTGCTAAAAATAAAATGGCATATTACATTTTAGCAGACTCAGTAAAATAATTCCAAATCTCACAGGTGAGTGGGTAAGTCTTATCCACACATACTTTAATATTAGTAAGGTAAATATACTTTCATTACAGTAGTGTCCTTGAGTGTGACCAAAAAAAAAAATTTACCAAATTTTCCATTACAAAAGTGTTTATATTCACCTTGAATTTCAGGAAGAAATCTGAAAAATCATTTCAGAATTCTGCCTTTGATTGAAACAAGGTCTGCAATCCCCTGCGAACGTTACACAGCTCCTCTTCTTGCTGTACAAAACAAATTGACATTTATCACTTGTATCACACTGTATTTATCACATGCTTTTGAAAAAAGGCAGATTCTATTCCATGTATTGCAATCCTGGTGCACTGTACATGCTGCTTAGTCTATCAAAGATGGTAATTTTCATCATTAAGACAAAACTAAACGAGTCCATTCACATCTCCCTGTGGCTCCCATCCCTCAGGTAAGGTTTTAAATACAGTAAAGTCAGTGACATTTGCATTCTGACTAATTATTTTTGATAGGGGACTAGAAATCAAAATTTGAGTAATTTAGTGTTCAAACTGCAAAAAAAAAAAAAAAAGAGGACAAGATAAATTTATTTACCATTTCTTTTAGAAATTTCTCTTGGAGTCCTTTTATGTCTTCTTTCAGCAGATGCATCTACAAAAAGACACTGAATGTACCTCCTCTGCTCTCAAGTGCCACCACATTTTCAAGCAAACAATGATGTCCCTAAATGTGTCATAACCAAGAGATGCAGATGCACCTGCCCTAGGGAAAAGCATGTTTTAAATTTTTAAATTTTTTCTTTCTTGGATGAGTAACATCAGTAAACAAAGTCATAGAATCCAGGATAAGTCCTGAGAACTGCACACAACTTGCAATGGGTGAAATCAAGGCACAAACACTGAATATTGTGAAATTAGGGGACATTTTATGGCAAAAGCTAAAAAAATATTATGGACATTAATATAATGCTGAGGATAAAATCTTCAGGAAAAAAGGCAATACTGGTATCTGTGGGTGCAACTGAGGAATTACCACAATGAGCAAAACAGAAGTTCACCATACCTCTGAAGTAAAAACATTTTCTTCACAGCCAACAGAATGATAGATATTCTTTTCAAATGAAGTTTTAAGAATCTGAATTCTGAAGAAATAAAGGCAGTTTAAACAACTTTGCTACATAAAAACTTGCTACAAAGAGCACAAATACATCCCATTGTTGGGAGTCTATTTGCATTTAAAGCATGGATTAACATCCCCATCATTGTTACTGCTGGAACAGTCCCTCAGCTATGTGGGGAAGTTTAACTGGAGAATAATTACATGAACATTTTAATCTCATTTTCTCATCAACCATCTCTCTTTTATGGAAGGAGTTGCAGAGAGAAGAGAAGTTGTGCTGATCTCCCTCAAGTGAACAGAACAGAAATCTCATCCCAGGATTAGTGAACCCTACTGACCTCTGCTGCTCATTTTTTATGTACATACTAAAAGTGTGGGAATGCTTTTTCCAAAAGGTCTGGAAAGAAAAATATTAAGAGATATTAATCAATGGGAACTGATTTTCCAAACTAAAAGTAATTGATTTCTAATATGAACAAAATGACAACCACAGGCTGAACACAGAAGGGGCAGGAGTTACACAGCCCCCACAGGAGCTGGAAAAAGCCAGCCCATTAAAGCACCTGTAGGAGTTTATTGTACATACAGGAGTTCAAACAGTGGATGCATGCAGGAAAATACAGAGTGACCCTGGGATTCCAAGAGCATCCTGACACCCCAAAGGCATTACTTGAAATTTGACCCAATTAGAAGCAAAAACGTAAGGGCTTTGAAAATCAACATTAATGATATTAAATTAAAGATAATGTGAATGATCTACAGATTCCAAAGAATTCCCTTTTACCCATGAGCAAAACAACTGAAATACAAACCGAGAATTCTTTTTCCATGATTTTCAGGGACTGAGAGTCCTTTTCAAATTTCTCCAGCTCCTCAGTGAGAGTAAAATGGAATTTGTCCAGCTGCCTGATCCTACCAAAACAAACCAGGTTACTTGCAGAAGGCATTCACTGCATTTTAAGGATGTTGTAACAGAAACCTGCCATTACTGACCTGCATTCATGCAGTTGGTAACTCATGGTGGCCAAATGCTGATGGGCAGCTCTCAGGGTTTGCTTATTGAAATTGTCCATTTTCCGGGAGCGGTTCTAAGAGGGTGTTTTAACATCAAATTCAGATTATTTGCACTTTAGAAAAAACCCCAAAAAACTGTAATATTCAGTACTGTAACTGCTTATTATCACAACAAACCCCCTTTAAAAATGTAATGGTGTGGTGCAAGCCAAGCTGTCACCCATGTGCTCATGTACTCCCCAAGTGATGCACATCAAGGGTCTTGCCTCAATTTTCTTGGTAAATTCTTTCTGGAGCTGCTGACAAATGCTGATGGTTGAGCAATCAGGCTTCCAGAATTCTGCATCCAAACCAGACAGGTCATTTGCAGATTGAGTGGAGACACTTTCAGACACTGAAGAGAACAAAAAAATGTCCAATTCAGTGTTATAAAGTCCCCAGTCTGA